TATTAACTAGCAATTGGTGTGGTGAGTCACTGTACTACTGACAGACTGAACATTGTCAACGGCACAAGAAGTGTCTTTTAATTTAAACAAATCAGTTTTTACCATCCATCATGCAATCTCCTTCGGGGAATCATATCAAAATGGTTTTGTAAAAAATGAGCTTGGACACCTTTGAGCTAAGAGGACTTACCTGTGGTCTTTTAAAATAATGCTGCCGTCCTGCTCACCCTTGAAATGTAATTTAGCTCCAGATCAGAAGTGAACCTGGATTTAGAGACAGACTACTTCTTATTCCCCCTCCCCCCCATTCTCAGTGTACTTAATTTTCAGCGAGATTTTTTTTAGTTTCTGGGAAGGACAAGTCACTCTTCACTTTCTAACATGGATGGTTCATACCTCACTTTAGCCACTGGCTTTCACACAACATGTTTCATTTAATGCTGTACAAGAGATTTTTTTTTTTTTAAAGGTTGCGAATTTATGGAACTCTGCAATTTAATTTCCCCCTTGCATCACTCCTCCCCTCCCCAGCACCATATTTTTTACATCTACCTGTTAAGCTGTTATCCCATCATAACAAATAAACACCATGTTTGATAAATCGCTCTAATGCTTTCTGCTGTCACAACGAATGCCATTATTTACATTCTTTATTAATGGAGGGAGCTCTCCACAGACCTGGGGTCGTTAGAGTTTTCAAGTTTTCTCATTCCTTCATCTCCAACAAAATGTTACTTGGCATTCATATAGTTCTCTTCCTAAAGGTGCATGGACATCACAGCATTCCTTGCAACAGCCTGGTAAAGTCGGCCAGGACCATATAACATATTTATTTATTTCATTAGATTTATATCTCTCCTCACATTGTAGGCTCGGGGTGGGTACCAACATACATACATACATATATACATATGCAATTAAGGCAGATTTATAAATTAAAACCTATTTACAACATAAAAACATAACCTTACCTCTTGCCTAACATCCCCTGCAAGTGAATCAAATGCAAAAAAGATTTTAAGAAAGAGAGGAAAGATTACCTTTGCAGTATAAATCCAAATCCTGCATGACTCTGTCCACTTACATTGCTCACCATTCTGGAAGTCTGCCATGGTTACCCTGCAGGAGCATAATCATTAAGCCTCTTTCCTTAACGTCATCTTTAACGTAATCTTTCCTTTAACGTCATTAAATTCAGATTAAGGATGTACAAGACAGAATGAACAAAGCAATTTTGCTTGGTGTGGGATTAGCAATAAAACCAGGTGAATCTGAGCTAATTTTAAAGCCAGTTTTCAGCTGTCACTTCAATTGCACAGGAAACTGGAAGCAGAACTCTGAAGTATGTTGGACAGTCACTAAAACAAAAGAGCATTTGGGGGTAGAATCATACACACCTTCCATTTTAAATATGCCATTCATAATAAATATTCAAATGGTTTATGAACCTTTGAGATCCACAGCACAAAGCCTTACATTGCTCATCGGGCCCATACACTTGCAAGAAAAAAATAAGCAAAACCACAACTATTTGGATCAAACCCTTTTATCTGGCTCCTGGCCTTGGCTCAAAGTGTGGCTTTTGGAGAAGGGCCATCACCCAGTCTGCTTTGCATGTATTAGATCTCGGATCCAGTGCCTGGCATCTCCAGTTAAAACCATAAGATAGTAAGTTGTGTGAAAGACCTCTGCCAGAAACCCTGGACAGCACAATACTAATCCTGACACTACACACCAAAAATCTGATTCAGTGTAAGGCTGATTTGTGTGTTCAAAAGGGTGAGCTCAATGCCTGGCATCAAGGAACCAGGTTGATCTACTGGCAGCCTTTTCCCCCTCTCATCAGATCTTGGGAAGACATTGTTTACAATACATAAGACTAGAATTTAAGGGAAATAGACTCTCATGGTCAGTCTTCAGTTCTGGAGTTTTTTTAAAAAATTATCCTGCTGATTATAAAATCAAATGTAATGGTTTTGCCTACAGAAACCTACACCTCCCTTTCTCCTTGAGCCTGGAGATCTTACAGTATTTTTCTTCCCAAGTCCCAATAACCACATTTCACTTCAAATTGTACAGAAAGGCAGTTCCACTATTTCTATCATTGTGGGACAAAACTTTCCTGCATAGATCAGGGAGGCAGAGCCTTAACTGGGAGGCAACAGCTGTACTGCTCTTCATCACACTGTTTTTTAAAAAACAAACTAGCTAGAGGTATAGTTAAGCCCAAAAAAACAGAGTCCATATTGATTCCGTGGATTAACACACACACAGTTGTTTGAAACTGGGTTAAAATATCCTTATAGTTCCTTATAACTTCTTTTAAAAAATTACAGTGGACTGACTGGTAAGCAGGGAAGCTCACTCACAGCATCCCAGGTTGTTGTTTTTTAAATACATTTTTAAAAAGCTCATAAAGAGGTGCCAAGAGACCATTTCCTCTCTGTGATGATGGGGGGGTTTGATATGCTGCAACTGTTGCCAACATTATTTGCAAATTGGAGGGGGGACTGTTCTTGTATTTTGCTGTTTTATTTTGAAGGGGAGTAGGGATGCTCAAAACCAAGATTCTAAAGCTGCTGTATCAGTCACATTTTCTCGGGGGTTGTTTCACCAGTCTCAACAGGCCTTAATTCTAAGTATTATTGGAGTCAACAGACGTATGATGACCAGCACAATAAAACTGTATGCAAAAATAGCAAACTACGAGCTAAGAACAAGATACTGCAACTGCATACAATATACAGCACCAGAAACCACGCTCCTGAATTTAGTGGATCCTTCCTTGGAATCGCCACGCTACTAGCGTCACTGCGCAGCTGTAGGGACACCACCTAACATCAACCAACGCCCTCGAATTTGACTGCCCATTTAGAAGTTTGAATCTGGCCGTAGAATTATTGCAGACGAAACCAATTCGCCCCCACTAAACGGCCCGGTTTCGCATTCAATCCTTCGCCTAGAGCGCGAGCCGGCCGTTAGGGCGTGAGAGGAGAGGCAGGGGCGGCCGCCGGCAGCCTCTCCTCGCCCGCAGCCTGGCCGAAGCAAGAAGGGCGGGGGAAGAGGGCCAAGGGTAGCGCTGCGCTGCCCGGGCCTGGCGGGGCCCCTGTGGCGAGGCAGGAGGCAGGGAGCCAATCCCCGGGCCGCTGCCGGGCCGCTGGCCCAATCAGCGCCCCCGAGGGAAATCCCGCGTGTTAAACGCGGGAATCCCCAGTGGGCAGCAAGGCGGTCCTTGCTGGCTCTGGGAAGGTGCTCCTCCTCCTCCTCTGCAGCTTGCAGGTAGGTGTGTGGGGTAGGGGAGGCCAGCAGCGGTGGCGGCCGGGGGGGAGGCGGCCGGCGGCCGAGAGGGAGGAGACCAGCAGCAACTGCGGCGGGAGGGGTGGGAGGCCAGCAGCAGCAGCTGCGGCGGCGGCGGCCGGGAGGAAGGGGAAGCGGGCGGCGGCGGCCGCTGGGAGGAGAAGGAGACAAACAGCAACAACCGGGGGGGGGAGGAGTCGGCCAGTGACTGGGAGGGGAGGGGAGCAGCACCAGCAGCCGCGGTGGCCAGGGGGGGAGGCAGTTTCTTAGCAGCTGTTCCGGCGTTGGGGGGGGGGGGGACCGGGGGAATGTTTACCGCATGCGCTCTTAACTCCTTCCGCGGCTTCTTTAGAGTAGCGGCGCTGGGGGTGGGGCCGTATTTGTTTTGAACGACGGCGGGAGCTGTGTGGTGGCGCCTCTGCTGCTAGGGGTGCTCGTGATACTTGTAAGTTAGCTTGTGTGGGCCTTAGCCTTTCGCATGTTGTGTCACGGGTTTTGCGTATTAAAAGCATTGGGTGAGCGTTGTTGGTTTGAATCTGAGCGCCCCTTTTGCCAGTAAACTGGCTCATGTAAAGCAGGGTTGGGGGTCATTATAGTACTGTGTGGGCGGTGGTGTGCTGGATGCAAACCCGGAAAACCTGGGCTCAGATATCTGCTCAGGCAGGAATATCACCGAGGTGCTCTTGGTCTAGTCGTTAACCTTTGGTTTAGTCTACCTACTGCTAGGGTTGTTGTAAAGGTAAAAGGTCGTTGGAATTGAATCTTTGTCCTTCTTGGGGAACTGGTGAACGATAAATGTAATAGAGGAGAAGTGGAAAACTTATGGAAATATTGAAGGTGTAAGAAAGCATGCATGTTTGGGAGCAATTTCCACTTTCTTATGAAACCTAACCCTCTTTTGCTGATTTAACAATGTATAGAACCCTAGAACCCAAAATGTTTAAATTTTACAAGTTTAGATGAATTTGGTTTTTTACAAGCAATATTGCTCAGTACTATAGACAAAGTGGAGACCTAGAGACCGCTGCGCCCTCAGTCTTTAGTTCTTGCCTTCTGAAACACAGGAATAAATAAAAATAGGCAATGCATGTTTTGTAGTAAACAGAAGAATATTATTTGGACAGAAAGTTTCATATTTATTTACTTATTTATTTGGCCTTTCTCTCCAGTGGGGGCTTGCATTGTTCTCCTGCATTTTATCTTCCTAACAGACCTGTGAGGTAGACAGGCTAACAGTGTTCAATGGTCCCGCAGCAAGCCTCCATGGCAGAGTGGTGATTTAAACCTGGGTCTTCCAGGTCTTGGTCAGATTCTCTAACCACCACACTCTGTTGGGTTTCAGTTATAATAGAATGAGTAGGATATTTGGGAGATCAGGTTGAACTTTATAGCACCTGCCTTAAAAAAAAAAAACCCTTCATTTCGCAGGCAACCTGGGGCCTAATTCAGACTAGGCCCATGGCATGAGGGGGACTGCCAGGAATCTGATGGGAAGGGAGGGCTGCTTGTCTTCCATATCTGAGGTCTAGAGGTGAAAGTGTAGCTTCTCCTCCTCTCCAGGTTTTCATTTGTTTCAACCATTACCCTTGAACTAGCCTCCTTCAATTCTCTGTGCTTCATGAACCTTACGAACTGTAATGGCAGTTTAGAGAAGGGTGCAGTCCTTCCTTCCTTCCTTCCTTGTCTTTCAGGCTTTAAGCATCATGTGCAGTGAGAAGTCCAGGATCCCTGTTTTCCGTTTCCGAGAACCCAAAGTGATCAATGTTCCTGAAGGTCTGTTAACATATTAAGATCATTACTGTATTTGGGCTGGATAGCTCTTTCTTGTCTTACAAGCCCCTTCCTCTAGATGACTTCTTCCTCTAGATGACTTCTTTAGCTGAATAGCTAAGGTAGTTGATTCTCTTAGAGAGGATCACACAAGTGCTTGCCATGAGTGAGGAGGTATTGGTAGCTCTGGGAGACTGAGGTCTGACACCCCACCCCCCCCCCCCACCCCACCATGGAAACTCACTGGGTGACCATGGCCAGTCACACTCCCAACCTAACCTATCTGTGACGATGGGATGTAGGAAAGGAGGCGATGTGGGCTGCTCTGGGTCACCAATGGGCAGAAAGGCAGGGTGTAAATAGATAAAAATGCTGTGAATTTGTCCATGTGCCCAGTGAAATCACATCTTGTTTTTCCAATAGCTGATATAGAGCAGTGTTGTCCCCTTGTTTGTTTGTTTTGAACTAAAGCAAAAGGAATTCCCACAGAGCTGTAGATACTGATGACGTGCAAATTATCCAAATATCTCTTAAACAAGTTCAAGGTCCCTACAGTCTTCCCTAATTTCCTATAATCCTTTTTTTGTATTGGAGTCTTAATTCACTGTACTGTGTTGATGCCCATTGAAAAAACTAGCTAAAATGAGCAAACAAGCTAAGTTGTGCTGCACAAGGGAAGGTGAATCTCCAAGGGCACATTGACCAATCTGGCATTCTTTTCTGATAACAGTACTGGTGACAAGTATGTTTCCTTTTTGGTGAGATCCAGTGGGCAGGTATTCACTTCATTTGGGATCTAAGCAAAGCACAAAATTAGTTCTAATACCAGGTTGAACTTTTCAGCATCAATAACAATATTACATAGGACATTGCTCGTTTGATGTCTCCTCATATTTATTGTATGACTGCGCTTATTGGATGTCTCTTCATACGGACTGTTATCAATTTGCCCGGCGTAATCGCTTTGAGTCTCAGTGAGAAAGGCGGATGATAAATTCAGTAAATAAATTAATAAGAAACATTAGGGGTGTCTTTTAAGTGCTACAGAAATAATGTGCTTTATATGGAGAGAAGAGACAGGTCCTGTTTATTTTGCTCGTTTAGAAAATTTGGGTGCTGCTTCTTCAGACCTGCTTGAAATAGCTCACAACAATAAAGCAAAGTCAAACAAATAAAAACAACCAGAACCAATCATAATAAAAAATGATGATAAATCATGTCAATAATCTAGGGCATAACAGCACAAAAAATGGAACTGGCCAAATTGCCATTGATAACAAATTCCAAAGGCTAGGAGAAGACCATAAAATGTTTTCAAAAGGGAACTGTGGAAAGAATTTTCAGAAATATAGAAGGTTTGGATTTAAAATGAACCAAATAGTTTTATGAAATCCATATACATATCTGTCTCTGCCCTTGCTAGAAAAAAACAGGCTTGACCTTTCTTTCACTGAAGATGTAACACATTCAATTCCCAGGAAATTCCTAGGGAAACTCCACAGATGTGAAACTTGCCAATACCCCCAATTTCCTAGATAATAAAATGTGTGGCCATTTGGGCAGCTGGCAAGACAAGCTAACTTCCTGAAATACAGAGAGTTCACACACACACCCTGCTTTCATCTCTCTGATAACATCAAAGGACAGTTTACTTCCCATATTGGGGAACACCTGGAAGAAACAATGACACTGTATTGATCCTGTAAAATGTGTACACTTTTGTTGTGTGAGACCAAGGAAAGGAAACAAATTTCCTGCAAGACAATTCCAACTTCTAAGTGTTAATTTCCAACTGTAATATGATTATCAAGGGACCCCTTTGATCTTTGGTATAAATACTGGTCAGTTACAACAGACCCCTGCTGACTCCTCTTAGTCAGTCAGAGAGACCTCTCGTTCGCGCATGCATGGGGTGGGGGAAACTTTGCTGCATGTTTATTTTTCTGTGTATTCCATCAATGTTTAGGAAATAGGATTCTACTGTGTGGCAGGCTGGCATAGCGTCTTGCGGTCATCTTGCCTGACAAATCTCTGAATGTTTTTCTATAATAAAGATAAGTTTTATTTTTAGAAGAGACCTTTGAATGTCTCTGCTAGAGCCTTAGTGATTTCCAAGCTTACACTTCTGCCTTAGGTAAGGAGGCAAACACACAGGAGACACACGAACCAGAGGAGGGAGAGTGTGGGTGGCATGGGTAAACACACTTTCACAAACACGTGCAGCCACCCACATTTTCTTACAACAGGAACACTTAGTTAAAACCTCTAGCTGCAAACTCCTAATTCTGAGACAAGTAAGGAACAGGGGAACACACAAATGCAGAAAAATAAAAGGAAATCTTTAGGAATCTGCATCTTTGAGCTGCAGTTCAAGTGCAATATTAGGAGGCAGGGTGTTCCTCAGGGATGGGGAATGGAGGCAGAAGATGGCGGAACATACCAGGGTCAGTGAACTTAAGAGAACTAACAGAATGAAAGGGAAATGAGTGAGATCTGAGGCAAGAGAATGCAAGCATTTGGCACAAGGAGGAGAAGTTGAAAATGAATGTGATGCTGGAAAGGTGAGTCAGTGAACACAAGAAAGAAGAGCTGTGATCAAAGCTAGAGGCAGAGAAGACAAGATGGGTGGCAAATTTGGGAATGCAGAAAGAGGTAATCCTGGAAAGTGCATTGCCGTAATAAAATAGGAATTAACCAAGACTTTAGTTGCAGCAAAGGGAGAATAGGAAACAAAGGAAAAACTCCAGGGTTGGGGATTCTCCTGTATTTTTCCTCTCTTGAGCCAATTTTTTGGTTAGCTGATTTTGCCTCCGCTTTGGCTGCTATTTGATCTTGGATATCTATCACAAACTATGTCTCAAAATCAGACTTTGGAATGTTGCCCATCCTCATTTTTCATCTGTTTCTCTTTTGGCTGTGCTTTGTTCATTTTCCCTGAGCCTGCCGTTTCAGAATTTAATGATGCTTCAGTCCATCTTCTTTTCATTCAAGCTGTTGCTTTGTCTTGCCATTTCCATTTGTTGACTGGTTGTTCTAAACCTGGCCTGTCTTGATCACTGCAGCAGCCTCTCCTCCAACCCCATTCTTCCACAATGACATATGGAAAGCCCTGTCCCGGCTCACTTGTGGAATTAATTTTTCTTTTGGTGCCTTATTTGCAGAGCGACAACCATTGCTTCCTTCAAAAAGGTATCTCAACAGCAGTGCCAACGTAGAACCCTGCAGAGATCGTGCTTTTGTGTTTGGGGCAAAGGCTCCGGAAAATATTGCCTTCAAAGAGGCAACTCACTGGTAAAGTGGAAGTTTACTTCTATCGATATTATTGCAACCCTTGGTGTGTTGTCCCATAAATGTGACACTTATGCCAGATTTGAGTAAATGTCTCAAGATGTGCAGTGGAGGAGCCTCTTTATTTTCAGAAACCCAGAGTATCAGACCATGTGGTCTAGCAGTTAGAGTGCTGGACTCGGATGTAGAAGAGCCAAGTTCAAAGCAACACTGTGCTAGACCCTGACCTGGATAGCCCAGGCAAGCCCTGTCTCATGAGATCTCTGAAGCTAAGCAGGGTCGACCCTGGCAAGTACCTGGAAGGAATACCAGGGCTGGGATGCAGAGGCAGGTAATATCAAGCCACCTCTCTGAAATATCCTAGCCCCATTAGGGGTTGCCAGAAGTCACCAAGATTTCTAGGCTCGTAAGCACACACACACAATTTTTAAAAAGCAGCACTGTGCTGCGGAACTTTGCTGGGCAACTCTAGGCTGGTCACTTTCAGCCTAATGTAACTAATGTACCTTGCAAGGCTGCCATGAGGATAAAGTGGAGGACAAGATATTGAGCTCTTTGGAGGAAAATGCATGAAATAAGGAGTTGTGGTTATTTGGAATAGCTGGCTTTGTTTTGTTTGTTTTTTTAAAATCCCCAAACCCACATCAATCCTGATATCCTACTCCTATTAAGGGTCACGAAGATAGTGCCGCCACCCCCCAAGAAAGCAACTGTACAATGGTGAGTACCTGTTTCTGCATCCATTTCTACTTTTATTGCAATTTCGGTTGACATGTATTAAATTAGGAAAATACACTCCTATACAAGTATCTCTCCCTTATTATAATTGAATAGCAACGTTCTATATTGAACGTTCTAAATTTGGCCCCTTTAGTGTTTGGCCGGAAGAACTGTCAGTCAGAAGACGCTGGCTAGGTTGACTGGCTGCTTTGTGCAGTCCCGCCCATCATTTCAAGGTCTTCTGCATATGGAAGCTGATTGGACTTCACTCCATTCCACACCTCAAACTCCCCCCCTTCCCCGGCAAGGCAGTTGGAATTTTCAGTTGCATAGACAGATACAATGCCATACTCCCCACCCTACTGTATTCTGAGGTAAAATATGTCCTCACTCAGAACACATCACTTCCCCTTCAAAAGAAACAAACCCAATAACACAATCATGCCACACCACAAAGACAACAGATCACACCACAAGCAGAATACCACAAGGCAAAAAATGATAGGAAAAGGTGCCAGCAGTCACCCCATTACTGCCACAGAGAGCGCTTCAGAGGATGGTGTGCAGGTCCCAGGTTCATGTTTTAAAAGCAGCCTGGGGAATTATGGACCATTCACACACTTTCAACCTTAACATACCTCATAGAGTAGTTGTGTGGATCATATGAGGGAGAGGAGAATGATGTCAGCTGCTTTGGTTCCCACTGCAGGGAAAGACTGCCCTTTCTGAGGCTGGGCGAGGGGAATGTAAACCTGAAGACAGACAAGCAGATAACGGTAGGCTGATGGTTGCCTGGAAAGGACATAGGGTTGCCAACTCCAAATTGGAAACTTCCAGGATATTTTGGGGATGAAGCCTGCTGAGGGTGGGGTCAGAGGAGGAGGAGGAACAGGGGTACCTCAGACAGATACAATGCCATACTCCCCACCCTCCAAACAAGCTGTTGCCAGTCTCCAGGTGACAGCTGGAGAGCTCTTAAAGCTCTGGTGCTAATTCAAAGTGTTGCAATTTTGTGTTTTGGAAAATCTTTAGGAATTGTTTGGTGCATTTACGATGGGGCACCCACCCAGAGCCTCTGGCATTTTCTCACTCTGCTGGCATCAAAACCAATTTAAGGCAAAATACAGATATGGAGACACTTCAATCCTCCTTTGCATCAATTTGTCTTTGTTGGCAATGGCAACCCTAGGCCTGCAAGCACTCTCAGGGTGACTTCATGCCTCCAGACTGGCATGGCATCACTAGCCCTGGCTGCCTATGGAAGCTGCCTGGGTGATTTCGGAGCAGCCACAGACTTTCTGCCAAACCTACCTTACAGTGTTGTTGTGCAGATCGCAAAGCCGAAGAGAATGAAGTAAGCTGCTTTGCTCCCCCGATAATGAGAAAGACAGATTTTTGCCTAGAAAGAGGCTGCTGAGAGGGGAGGAGATAAAGTTGCCAGCTTCAGGTATGGTAATTCCTGGAGATTTGAGGAGTGGAGCCCGGAGAGGGGGACCTCAGACAGGTACAGTGCCATAGACTCCACCCTCCAAACCAGCCATTTGCTTCTGGGGAACTATTGCTGCCAATCTTGGCCCAGCAGCCATCAAACCATTCTCTTCAACCCCCTGCTGTGCAGCTGACTTTTCCCTAGGCTTTTCCCTAGGCTTCAATAGAAGTGTGTAACTGTTCTTAGGGTTACTTTGGTTCAGCCCTTCCAACTTGAGAAAGGGAAATGCATTTTTGCTATGGATACAGAATTAAAAATGTGAAGCACTTTCATTAGTTTGATGAGGTGTTGTTGCTGTATATTTATTTTATGCACTCATTTAAGTTGAACACAAACTTGAAGCAACAAACTGAACTTGTCAAAATTCCCACTGTGGTTACAAACATAAACAAAGGGGAAAGAGACTGACATAGAGACCAAGTAGGAGCAAGTGAAATACTAGGAGTCATGAAACTAAATGTTTTCATTAGCAGCATCAATATTAACCTTTCCAATAACTCAGGTCAAATCCAATCATTCTAGAAGATGGGGAAAGCAAAATTTAATCACACTCCACATTATGTTAGTTTTTACAGGACTAAATATGGAGGTAATTGGCCATCTCTCCCGATAGTTAACGAGAAAGACAGATTGAATGTTTCTCAGAGCTCTCCAACACCAGCTGAATCTGGTGTCCAAATTTAAATCAATCAGATTGACACTGTTTGCCCAAAGCCAGAGCACTCCCCCAGAGCCTCTTTCTAGATCTCGTTGTATTGTTTTCACAACGGGCTTTACTGCTAGTCATAGTATAAAGCTAAAAAAAAACCTAATAAAAAGGTTGTGTAACCCAAAACCAAATGCTAAACCACTTTACACTAGAGGAGATCACATTTAGATTTCTCGCAGTGCAGAGCATTTGGATAACATAAAAAATGTAATTTTGCTATACAAAAAAGTTTACTAATATTTGTCCAAAAGAATCCCAGTTATTTTGCTGTTTTAATACTTCACCAAAAGTGATAAATATTCCATTATAAATATATAATAACTGTTAACCAGTATTTATGACCATTTATGATACAATCCATACAAATACAATTGCTGAGAGATGCTGGCACATTCATTCAACTCTTCAAAGTCCATGAATGTTCTACTAATGAAGTCACTTTTGTGTTCCTTGTGGAATCTCACAGAGAATACCAGAGACCTAATGTGCTATCCCAGATTTCAGTGAGTTTCCAGTGTCTTCCTCAGAATTGCAAATTAACAACAGTCAAGCAGTTATTCTGGAACTGTACATCAACATGTACAATAAAAAAAATTGAAACAAAAAGGAGCATCCTTAATATTTGGTATACAACATTGGAGGTAGCCAGCTGCATGCAATTAACCAATTAATGCTAGAGAGCTTTAGAAATAGGGTGTAGCACCCTGATTTGTTGAGAACCTCATGCGGTTTTTGGAGATTACATAGACAGTGGTTCGCTCTATGGAAAGCGATTTGGACTGCATAATTCTTTTTTTTTTAAGTACCCATAGGTACACTTTTATTAATTTTTTTTAAATCTACAACAAACAAATCTACACACTACAAACAGACACTCTACTACACATAACATATATACCAAGAGTAGTTACATTATATGCTTATAGAGTTTTTATTAATTAAGTAATTGCATATATCAAATACTTTCCATTCTTCTATCTTCTGTGTTCTCAAGTCCATTGCGCTATTCTTGCCTAGTCTTCTATTACATTTGCATTATACCAATCATAAAACTTTTTCCATGTTTTTTGAAATGTCCACTCTTTACTTAATCTCATTTCTAGAGTCAGTTTATCATTTTCTGCTGTTTCAAAAAGTTTATTCACAAACTCCTGTTTCGTTGGTATCACCATGGTTTTCCAATATTTGGCATATAAGATTCTTGCAGCTGTCGTCATATAAACAGTCAAATACCTATTCTCTTTTTCATAATCCTTTGGAAATATATTCAACAGCAAGACCTCTGGAGTAAATGGAATCCTTGCTCTTAGTATCTTCTCCATCAAACTATGGACCCATTTCCAAAACTTTTTAGTAACATCGCATAGCCACCACATATG